GTTTGTCATAAAACTGCTCTATTTGATGAAAAGACCTAGAACTCTACAGTTCTGGATTTTGTCATTTTCTCCATACAGTTCTTAATTTTTGGGCAAGCACTTTAGGTTTAATCAAATGTCCACTACTATAATGCCAAAGAAGGAATATTTTGCATGTATATGTAAGCTAGGTCAAGATAAACTGAAGTGTTTCACAAAGGATTTAATTTTTAAGAACACAAATTATGATACTTCCATAGTGGAATAATTGCTAGTTCTGTAATAGCTGTATTTAAAATGTATCCAGACAGTACAGTTTCTGAATTAGGGTGAAAACATCACTTTTAATTCCAAATGTCATTACAGATTCTGTCTAATCAACACCCACAGCTGTGAGTTTTGGAATGGTAGGTGGAAACCAAGACATCTTTATTTAGGATTCATAAGGTTTGGGCTCTGTAACTAAGACAGAAAAGGAAATGTAGTCTCTTATGAAATGCAATTATGGCAATTCAGGTATTTTTAATAGTTTTATTGAGATGTAATCCATATACTATAGAGCCCACTTATTTGAAATATATAATTTAGTGGTTTTCAGTATATTTACAGATATGTACAACCATCACTGGAGTCAATTCTAGAACATTTTCATCTTTAGAAAGAAACCCTCATACATTTTGGCTATTGCTCTGTTCCACCAGACCCACCAGCCCCAACAGCCACTAATCTATCTTCTATTTTATGGATATGTCTTGGTTACTTTTCTCTTGTTGCTGAGACAAAATACCCAATGCCCAAAATGAAGGAAGTAAAGGTTTATTTAGCTTACAATTTGTAGAGCTTTCAGTCCATACTTGGCTGGCTCCAAGGCAGAAGACAGCAAAGCAACAAGAGCAAGGGGAATGGCAGCCGAACAGCAAACAGCCAGAGCAAAGGGAGAAATGGCGGCAAGCAGCTTCTTTCCCTGGTTTACATTGTAAACAGGCTACCCCCACCTAAGGGGCATGTAGCTCTCACATAATCTCCATGCCCTCCTCTTCCACAGGCTCAGGATGTATACAAAGTAAGCACCCTGGCTTCCTGCTGAGTCACTTAGCCAAACCTCTAGACTCCCCAAGTTGACACAATGTATCAACCATAACAGGATGGATGTCACTGTTCTATACTTTCATATGAAGGGAATCATGTAATGTGTACTCTTTTGTGACTGGCCTATTCCACTTAGAATGATATTTTCTAGACACCTTGGTATTGTCCCATGTATTAGAGCTTCATTCCTTTCCATAGTAAATCAGAATCCACCCTACAGATTTACAGTCATGTGCCACTCGACAATGGAGACATATTTGGAGACACATGTGTTCAGGCAGTCATCATGGAGTGTACTTAAACTAAGATGACTATGAGGCCACTAGGTGACACAATCTTATGGGACCACCATCATACACGTGGCCTGTTGTTGACCCAAACATCGCTCTGCTGAACAGGACGGTACCATACTCTTTTTATCCATTCTGTTTATGCATTCATTCATGGATGGACATTTGCGCTGTTTCCATTTTTTATAACTTTTTTGATGTTGTTAATTCAGATATTTTTGAAAGACTCCAAAAGTTTATACCAATTCTAGCATCAAACTTTCAAACACTTGTTTTTCATGTACCAAAAACTATACTATCAGCAAGGGACAGACTTATCATTGTGAACTTTTCACTACCATAATTAAGAAAAAGAGCACACTATTTTGCTATGAAACATGGTTTTTCTTCCTGATTTTGTCACTTGCAGTATGACACTTGTATTCTACTTTAGCCTTTAATGACCTAATCACAAATGTGAGACAGGACTAAAATAGTGACTTTAAAATATTCTAAAACATTTAAAAATATTCTAAAAGCTTATTTTCAGTGAAATCTTAAGTAGAAATTTAATACATGAGATAAAGTTTGTCGGTCATATAAACTTATTTTTTAAAACCCAAATTTATAACATTTCTTTAAAATTCCATCAGTGAGAAGAGAATTAATTAATATTAATATGAGTCCTTGATAGCAAAGATTTTTGCATGACAGTTATAACCTATTACAGTCACTATTCAGTTTGGCTTTGCATTCTGCATTAACTTCAGAAAATTCTGATTTTCAGAAGAATCACAAAAGATTTTTTTGCAAATTGAGTACTTTAAAATCTTGCCTTCCAATCTCATAGCACTTTCCAATTAAACAAAGAGGCCTGGAGAAGATTTATTGTTTAGAGTACTATTTCTATTGAAGGTTTGCACTTAGTTCTTGCCCAGTCTTATTGGGATTATTTATGAGAATTTTGGGCTGGTGGGGCGACCTGTGATTCTGGAGAACCTCGCTGGATCTCATGTATTTTTCTGTAGGGAAGAACAGATGGAAGAGCAGGAAAGCAGGAAAACAGTACACTTGATGAAAATAATCCTTTAACTAAAATATCTGCCTCTGCAGGTATTAAGCCTTCTCCTGAACTTCTGAGCCCCAGAAATCTGAAGACAGAGCAAAAAAAGAGGCTTTTTAGAAACATCAGGAACTTTGGGAGACACATCCTTAGTTCCCTGAATCTTTGGCCCAGGAAGTACCCGCAAACTTCCTCCCTCTTGGGTGTGTGTTTTCATTTCCTCCATGAGGAGGACAGGAGGAAGAGGAGCCTTCTACTTATTTTCAGTGAAACCTTAAGTAGAAATTTAATACATGAGATAAAGTTTGTCAGTCATATAAACTTATTGTTTAAAACCCAAATTTATAACATTTCTTTAAAATTCCATCAGTGAGAAGAGACTTAATATTAATATGAGTCCTTGATAGCAAAGATTTTAAGGCAGGAAGTTAGGGTCTCAGCCTGTTTGTTGGTCTGACATTTTGCCTCCTTTCTTACCATTTGGGGCTACGGAAAGAGTGTCCATATAAATTACCATATGAGCTACAACACCATGACAGGACTAAAGCTAGTACTATCAGTACTTAGCTTGTTATGATAATTGCAAACCAGATTGTTACCAGGTAAGCTGCTGTCTTGGTTACTTTTCTCTCGTTGCTGGGACAAAATACCTGATGCCCAAAATTAAGGAAGGAAAGGTTTATTTTGCTTACAGTTTGTGGAGGTTTCAGTCCATATTTGGCAGATTGCAAGGCAGACTGGCACATGGCAGAGGGCTACAGCTCATGGCGGCAGAACACAGCAAAGCAACAAGCATAAAAGCCAGGAATGGCCGCAAGCAGCCTCTTCCTCTCCCTTACATATGCAAACTATCCACCCCAGGGTGGGTGTAGCTCTCACACCCATAATCAATCAAACTCTAAAAGCCTGCCCCATGGCCGCATGAGGCTTTGCAGGGGACACACAGACACAAACCATAACAGCTGCACTGTGTTGTCACCTGCTTAGGGAACTCTTCTCTTCCCTAATAGAAGGTATCCCTAAAATGTAGGTAGTTTACAGATATATATCGTATATCAGGCAAGATATCAACATGTCACCAATGAATCTTGACCACTTTAGGCCCACATCCCTTTTTGGTGCCTAGGTGAACCCAGGGTCTCTCACATGCTGAGTATACACTCTCCCACTAAGTAATCTCTCCAGCCCAATATTAACTATTTGAACTTAATCCAACCTTACAACCTTTAAAACTAAGTTTTCAAAATTACTGTAAAATATAAAATGGTCAGTCTGCCTAAGAAGCATCTGTTTGGGGAAAAAATTCACCATGTAAATTTAGAGTACTGATAGTACACCAAAAAGAATGTAAAATAAACATAATTATAAGTGGCTTAAATGTAAATTTGATTTAATACAATTTATTTTCACTACAGCAACATGAAAGAATTAGGCTTTACATTCTTCAAAGTGTACAAGGAGTGATCAAATATGTGGTGAACGTTCAGATTGAAAAGTCATTTACAGTAAGGACACATTGCCAAGAGTGATGGGTGAGTGTGTTGGGTAGGGAGGATTTTGAAGGGGATTAATGACAATGTGTCTTTTACTATAATGAATCTTTTAGTTTAAATGTTCACTATGTTTTGATCACCTCAAACTGACAAAATATTGATAACAATTTTTCTGTTAAATAAAAAAAAAAGATTACAGTGTGTTCTTATCCATTTTATTCTACCCATCTGGTACTGTGCAACTTTTGGTTCTTCCCCAAAGCCAAAATGGGCATAAAAGAAAAATATTTTGAATTGAGTTAGGACATTGAGGTAGCTAGAACAGCAAAATTAAAGACCCTCAGGAAAGAGCACTTCCGGAACTGCTTCAGAGAGTGGCTATAATGATGGGGTCAGTGTGATCTACACAAGGGGGAGGATTTTGAGAGGTAGCAATGACAATATGCCTTTTACTGTAATACATTTGTAAGAATTTAAACATTCACTGTATTTTTAAAAAAATTTATCATGTATGCTGGTTGTAGATACATCTTTCTGGATCATTATTTTGGGGTTCTATTTGTTGAATTTTTCTTTATTTGTTCTATTTATATCATTCTCTTTTATATGTCTTAAAAAGTCAAAATCACATCTTTTTTTTCCTCCCTCCTATCAATTTTACTCGTAGCACTTTTGGCATATTCTTCATATCATGCATTTTCAGCACTGTATTAACTTTAAAAAAACCTTAATATCAAATCTACATGCATTTGTTGATCTAAAGCATGTATTTTTCAAACACCAATAATGACTTAATTCTCATCAATAGTTTGGGTATTTCCTTTCAATAACACTGAGTGACTGAGAATTTGGATCCACTCCAAACTTGACAGTCAGGCATCTTTTGCTATGTGTATACAGATATTTCTAACTGATCCGCATTTAGGGTATGCTGTACTATATACCTCCAGGAGTTACTTAGCTACCAGTAATGTTGAATAGCGTACTATTCATTTCAATATTCATCCATTTGAATATGGGAGATAGTAGTAGTAAATTAGCTGGAAGGAAGAAAAGAAGAGGTTTGTTCTACCTTCTTGCTTTTCTGTGATTTTAAAATATGCTTACCTCCTCCGAAAGGTCCCCATATGACTCGGCGGATGGACTTCACCCAGTCTTCCATATCATTCTGGGTGCTCGCCATGAGGAGGTAGCTCTCATGATTGGCAGTCATCCGATCGCGATCGCTTCCTATAAAAACACAAGGGCACATTCAGAGGAACTTTCACCAGCCTTGTAGGACGGACGTTTTCAAACACAGACTGGGCCAATGCAGTCAGCACTAGGTCCTTCCCAGGGAGTCGGAAAAATTTACTAAAGCTTCTAAATGAGGGGAAAATTGCTTCAAAACGAAAGGCTCTTATGTGTCCAGGAGAAGGCTGGACACCAAATGTCGTTCCCCAAACAAAGCCTGGGGTTTTTGTCCTAGCAACAGCCCATAGGCCGCATTACCTCATAATCCAATCCATTCAAGTGCAGCTGCTGAACAGGCGGAAAAGCAGAGACCGCAAAAGAGACCCAGAAGGTGGAACCGGAGCGCACAACGTGCCCCCTGGAAGCAAGTGCTGGAGGCTGCTGAGCGTGCACACACCAGGCACCCAGGGATGTGGGGGGCGGGACTCGGGGGCAGTGAACCACCATGTGCCCTGAGCTTCCCCCAAGCCTCTTTCCTGGACGAGGAACCTCGTCTTCCAAGGTCACAACTCCAGAAGGGCACAAAAGGAAGGGAAAAGAAGACATGCAACGGCAGCCACACAGGTCAACTAACCCTCCTATGGCCCCGACCCTTAAAAGCAGACTTCTGGAAACCCCACCTGCATTTCCTGCAGCAGGTTAATGGTTTCTCCTCCATTTTCCTCAAAAAAAGTCCCCATAAAGTTAAAAACCTTTATAATGCCTAATCCCAAATTTGAAGTGCTAGACTTCCCAAGCATGTAATTTAATTCCATAGAAATCTTTTATAGTTCATTGAAGTTTCCCTGGCGACTTAACTTTGCCATTTACACAACAAGGACAAACACCCTTGACCTTGAACTAGCTCCTGTGGCCTGGTGTCCCCCCACCTTCTCCACGTGGAAAGGAGTATTTCTGGACAGCTATCAGGGAATGCACTTTTGCTCTCTTTGAAAGTAATTAGTGGTGTTCACAGAAGGAATAATTAAATAAATGGAATGGGTATTTCACTGCAGTCTGACCCTATGTTACTATTAAACAGACTTTTCAGGTGCTCAAATATCTATCAACATTTAATTTTCAGTAAGTGCTTTAAACTTGCAGGCTTGGCTTGAATTAATTCATATTAAATGCTTTGCTTTGTTAGATGTGTGCTGGTAAGTGGATCTGAATACCTCTGTGTGGGGCTTGCAGGCTCACACTTACAATGCATACCATTCCTCTTCACCCTCTCACACCCTTCCTAACTCCCACATTGCACTGGTACTATATTAGATCCCAGCCAAAAGGCCGAGAAGCGAACATACACTGCTTTGAAAGCTGCAGGCATTTGAGTTTATACCTGAATTCTATGGAGCATTTTTATGGGGAAGGAGTGAGTATAAATACTGAACCCCAAGCTTTTGCACTAAGCTACTGAGCGACACCCCCAGCCTGCCTGCTTGCTCGCTCCCCTCCTCCCTCTCTCTCTTTCTTCTTTCATTTGAGGCAGATTCTTACTAAATCTCTAAATTTCTCAGGTGGGGCTGAAACTTGCCTCCTCCTACCTCAGCCTCCTAGAGCACCACCATGCCCAGCTCTATGGAACCTTCTTGATTTATTTCTCTAGGTTGGGAAGGACAGCTATATGATAAATACTGTGATAAATTTGTAAATCTATCTATTGTGATAAATTTGTAAATCAGATAAAAGATCAGAGAAATGCAATAACTTGAAGCCAACCAGGTGAGCGACTGGATTTAGTGTTTTGTGTTGTAATACAAGTGGATGGGAGTCGGGGGAGCGCCCAAAGGGGCTGGGATACACAGGATTCCCATTGTTGATGCAGCTCAAGTTAGGTCACTTTGAGCAACATGAATTGAAAAAGCATAGACTTAAGACTAAAGAAAAACCCAGCTCCTCTATTCCGTTTTGGCCCAGCTGTTTGACTTCCAGGGAACTACATACCTTCTGTGAAGTCAGTGTTCTTAATCATACATTGAGCGTAACATACCTACATCACCAGTTTTTGTGAGAGTTGAATGAACGAAAGCATATAAAAATAGCATCAATATGTTAGGCTAAAAATTCTGTAAGTACTACTTTCATCTCATTTAACTGCCTCCACATGAAATGACACTAGATTGGCCTCAGAGTATTACATCTAATGAATACTTGGGAATGATTAGTCAGTCAATAGTAACAGGGATTTTCAGAAAATGTTGTATTTCTTTCATATATGTGTACATAAAAATCACCTTAAAACTATATACTGCCTCTGTGTATAAAAATACCACACATTAATATGCATATTCATGGCTGCACACGATCTAAGTGGCAAAAATAATTAAGTGGCAAAATAAAAAGACGCTCCATTTGGCAGGGCACAGTGCTAAGATTCTGTTCTGTATTCGGATCCATTGCACCACATCACTTAGCCAGAAAAATTACCATTTTGAAATCAGAATATTTTAATTATGGCCTTTGGGCTGAAGGATCTTAGCGATTCAGACAGCAATATCCTGCTGTGTCACTCCTAGCTGGGCAGAAACAGCCCTCGTAATGAGGATGAGTGACAGCCGGGAGAGCTGTTTTTGCTTGAAAGCAGAGGAAAAAGAGAACAGTAGGTAAAACTGGCCATTATCCTCCACCTTTCTATTTAATTTTTTTTATCTCTGCCCACGGTGCTGTGTGTCTGGCCCCGAATCTCATTTGGACTGCCAATCACAGATATGAAATCCACGTGGCAATTTCACCCATGGATACAGACCTTGAACCTTGAGTGCAGCCACCAGAAAACAGAATTAGATGGATGTTTTCTATGAGGCTCAGTGGAGGCAGAGACTCATTACAAAGAATGAGACTGCAACATTTATATAGATGTATACAGTCTTTCCCTCTTACTCACAGTTTTGCTTCTGAAGGTTTTCGTTACTCTCAGTCCGCTGAGGTCTGAACATATTAAATGGAAAATTCCAGAAATGAAAAATTCATGTCTTAAATGACTGTTCCCATGGAATATCATTATAGATATTCACAATGCTCTTGTTAACCTCTTACTGTGCCTAATTTACACATTAAGCACAGGGAGGTGTGTATAGCTCATACAGGGAGGGTTCCAGACATCGACCGGGGGTCCACACTGTATCTGCTGGGGACAAGGTCGGGTCACTGAATAGACAAACTACACACTCACTAAAAATAGGCAAATTCCAACTGGAGGTGCCACCCGTCCTAATGCATAACCCTTTACTTCTAAGAGCCTGGGACCAAGCCTTGTAATTCAGGGAACTCTCAACAACTTTTCAAATACATGACTTGATAACTGAATGCATGCAGAATTTTAACTTTTAACCCTGCAGTTCAAGTTTCCCTCTCTGTTAGAGCTTTATGGTAGTCAGTGCTTCACTTAACCATTGCAAAACCCAAAACTCATTCAGGAGGTAAAATCTTAAAAAAAAAAAAAAGTCACCGAGCTCTGATTATCACTGATTGACTTTTTTTTTTTTTTTTTTTTTTTGGTTTTTCTCCGGTACCGGGAAACGAACTCACGACCTTGCACTTGCCAGGCAGGTGCTTTTGCCGCTGAGCTAAGTCCCCAGACTCTGATTGACTTTTTGTCATCAGCAACCATACTTTATATGCAAGTGCACTGTGTTGCATCCTATAAGCCAGAGCACATTCTCCATTCCTGGATTTCACTTGAACATAAATACCTATGCAATTTTTATTTTTAAGCACCAGTTTAAATGATACTGGGTTTGTACACATTTATAAATGATGCACCATCTTAACTTTTAGGGGGTAACTTCTGTTGGTGGCAATAGTTTAGTACTTGTGTTAAAATTTCAAGCATTTGTGATTTATTTATTTGGCCCACACTGGCCACATAGATGCTTATGCCACTAAGCTGTATCCATGGCCCATGCATTTGTGATTCTAAATGAACTAAATAGGTCACATCTTTTTATGTTACTTGTTAATGTATAATAGAATGTATTTGTACATTTCATCAACTTCTATATGTTTGCATTTGATATGCATTTATTTTTAACCTTTGTATATTTGCATTTGATTTTCTTTTCTGGAAGTAAAATAGACTCTCTGAAGCAAAGTAAGTACTTGACATGATTAACTTTTGCCAAAATTAAAAAGTAGACTACAAAAAGTATATTTAATTTAATAGATAAAGAAACTCTTAATCTAGCATGAAACACCATGTTAAAGAAACTTATATAAAGGAAAACTCATAGTTCAAAAAGGAAGTTAAAATACCTAACAACTATGTGAAACTGAAACTTCATTAATAACTACAAAAAAATTAAAACAAATCTCCAAACCATTTTAAAAATTGCTGTACCAAAAAAACTGGAAGTTGTACGCTAAGACATACACTGTCCTTGTGGGAGTATGGATAATGCTCTTTATGATACAGCCATTAAACAGAATTTTGAAGTTTATTAGTATGAGTTTTATTACAGCAAAGTAAATATACAAATCCTTGTATGACATCTCAATTTTCATGTAGGTAAAAACACTGAAATACACAATCATTTTAATAATGGCTATCTCTGAATGCTAGCTTTACTTTGCTTGCTCTACTTTTGTGCATTCTTATATGTACTTTTCTGATGTCCAACCATATACTTCTTAAAGTACCTGAGTTATTCTAAGAAGAGTCACCTATTTGTGTATGTGTGTATGTGTGTATATGCCCCTTTGAAGACTGTTCGGGTAGAGCCGGCCTAGTTGGTTTTGGCTCATTTGAAAGTTCTCATTATTTATCTCCAAAGAAGGTCACAAGGAACCAGCTCAAAACATTCAGTCACTCTGACCCAGCCCTTTCAGTTGAGGTACAGTAAACTTTGATCATTTTCATACAAAATTTTCTACCTAGGTCATCCTTGCCTGCCCATTTTTGAACATGTGATATATACAGCAGCCCTACTTTAACTGGAGGAAGCTCAGGAGGGTGCCTGTCCTTACATGACAGGTCTTTCCTGTCTGACGTGCGTGGGTCTCTGAGCTCTCTGCTTACT